TTTGGTTCCTGAACCAATCGGAGAAATCTGCTGCTCTGTCGTCTATGAGGCAGCTTTCCGGCCTCCGAGAGTGTAAGAATGATGTGGCGGTGGGGTTCCAGTTCAGGGCAGGCGCTGATGGAGGCGTAAGGCTCAACTGCAAACAGACCTGCAGGTGGGAGACCACAGCAGACTTACGGTCCTCTAAGCAGCCTTTAAATGTCAACGTAACAGAGTTTCTTCTGTAATCCTAGTGATGAGGATGAAGAGCTGTACGAGAAGCTGTCCAGTGAGCAGTGGAGGCTGGAGTGTCTGATGCACCTGCTGGCTCAGCTCAAGGACTCAGACCTGCCTGGGGATTTCTTCCTGGAACTGCTGCAGGTAGAGAAGCTCCCACCAGAGTCAGTCCAACCCTTTGCACTAAAAAAAATTGCATTTATTAAGAAAATATGCAGAATGTTCCGCAGTATTGCACCTTCTATGCCCACGGTGGGCAAATATGTTATGTAATTAGATAATATTCAGACTGTCATATATTTCTCTGTGAAGAAAAGTTCACTTGCTGTGTGTCAGAACAACAGATAAGTGTGAATTGAGCTCAAATGATGGTCAAACAGATAATTCTGCACATACATGGAATAAATTCACCTCAGCTTCTATTACAATATGAGGGTTTATTAACAAAAATCATTCAGCTCCAAGTCCAACAGATTTTAGTAAAAAACTAAACTAAGCTAATATAAACACAAAGAACAAGAAATAAAAGTGGAAGTGAAGCAATGATATCACAGTTCAGCAGGATTTTTTTTTGGAGAACTAAAGTTTATCTTGAAGAATTTGGAATGAGATCATATTAGCTTTTAACTCATTCAGAGCAATTTAAGTGTTTTCAAACCAATTCAGTGCAAATACAAGAAGTGAATAAATATCTGTTAAATAATATTTAATTCTATGATTTACTTAATTTCTGATCAATAACCTTTAGTTAATTGCTTATTAACTTCATATGTTTGTTCCTAGTGAAATAGTTATCTTCTTCAGGCTTCTTAATTAAAGTCGCAGGCAGGTGGCTGTTCCAACCGTTGCATTTTCCGAATTCTCCCGAGTGTTGCACGACTTTACACGACTGAATAAAGTGAATGTGATTGGTCGATTATCAAGGGGGCGGGATTGTTGTGGCAGAAGGTTTGCAAGCCTGTGTCTCGGAAGCATCTTGCTAACCAGTTAGCAACTTAGTGCTAGTAGGTTCCCAATGGGAAATTACATTGGGACCAAGTAGCAGTTAGCAACTTTAGCTACGTTTACCTGGACACAACTAATC